TTCTAGAGTCTTGTTCATACAGAGCTTCGAAAACGGAGGAATTTCCCAATGTTGTGTCATGTTACCGGTTGGAAAAGCCACGGTTATCGGGAAATAGGGGACCATATATATTATGTAATTAATCTTTATATAATAATATTCTGATTACGTAAAAATGAAAATATGAAAGAAATAGGTAAGAGGATATTATGGCATCTTACAAATGGATTAAAACAGCGGAAGTTTACGTCTCCTTCGTGGTTTATATGGACATTTTAAGTGTGTAAATATGTATTACTATTGGAAATAGATTTATTAAAGTTGAAGTTGTATTATTGAACAATATGGCAAACATACCTTTGGTATTCATCAACAGTTGGATTAGACCTAAAAAAATTAAATGGTGTATGACATAGCAATTATGTTTCACGAGCTGATATTTTCCTTGATAAACGTAGGCTTCTATCTTATTCTCATGTTTAATTTTTTTTCATTATTCTATTCAGTCTAAAGAAAGTGTACTTTACCTGATACAGAGTGACTTTTGCCCATCGTGAGTGTTTTGTTAAATCATTTCTTTATGTCAATGTGTACCAAACGTCATTCATGAAATAGGTAATCTTAATAATACTTTTATTCAAAGACAAAGGTGCATAAATCATCGTTTTGATTAGAATGGGCACTTCAAGATCATGTCACATGATTGTGACTTCAATTAATTTTGTGCACAGTAGCTCAGACTCTTTGAATTATTTGAAATTCAACATCCTTTGCTGTTTAAACAAGTTAAAGTATATACATTGTATGGGTGGGTCGATGGAGGACATGGTGTAAGCTAGTTTCAGTTGAATTTGTAATATATATGAAATGAGAAATCATACATTTATCTGCGTTAACTTTCCTTTGGACAGCAGTTACAATTAAAAGAAACACTTGTTGAAAGGTGTTTTTTTCATAGTAAAGCGTAGGGCTAGTAATGGTTTGGAAAGGACTAGTGACATACAAAATCCATCAGCCTGGAGGGCCAGTTAAAGTCTTTAGTGAGTGTCGATCCCTGCTGTTTTATTATAAAAATATAACAGAAGAATGTTCTGGATTTTCCTTTTTCACTTTGAAAGAAGCTATACAATGCACAATGGTTACTCACATATACTGTCATTCAATTTGAAGGTAAAAGAATATTACAAAGTGGACAGATCTCAATAACTGTTCTTTCACAATATATTGCAATACGTATCGCAATACAGAAGAGTGTATCGCAATATATCGCAATACGAAATTTGGGGCAATACACAGCCCTAGGAACCGATGACATGTGTCAACCAAGCCAGCGAGCCTGACCACCCGATCCCGTTAGTCGCCTCTTACGACAAGCATGTGTTACTGAAGGTTCATTCTAACCTGGACCTTCACGGGTCAGAATCTAACCAACAATGGCAGGAGTAGAGACATCTAACGTCTGCATTTCTCTCATTTAGAAAAAAGGCACCCAACGATCGTTGGCAGAATTGTCCTAGACCTCAGCGAAAATTATCTTGATAATGTCTTTGCAGCCAGCCAAGTAGCCTCTTCCCATCATATACAGTTAGACTCCGAATCTTTAGGCCACATGAAAGAATTTTAGGCAAGTTCCAAGCTTTACTCTCGCATTTCCGTGATCTGTAATGATTATTCGGGCTGGCACACGAGGCAAGAGGCATAAGATTGCTGACTTCGCGCAAGTTTACGCTTTTATTCGTTTAGGTTGACTTGATCGCGGTTAAATACCGAAAGTCATATGAAGGTAACGAAATAAGACAGGAGATCATTATTGAAAGCCACAATTCAGTCAAAGGGGAATAACACATTCAAATAGTGACTGAAGCGCTTGTAAAATACCATTAAAAAGTTGGGGTCAAAACTATATTCTGCTTGGATCAAATTGATAACGATAAATCACAATTTCACACCAAATCGGTTCATGATCAACATTCATTTCAGCGCAGAATGTAATAAAAACATCCGACCAACTCTGAAAAAAGTTTCGTAACAAACTACCATCATTTTGTTTTGATTTTCCGTGTGACATTTTACGAGGGTAAAGTGACAGGAGTACTGTTGTAGGAACAAGGGAGGGAAGCACGTGCAGCTTTGGATGTCAACATGATTTGGGGTACAACAGAAGTGGGCTTCACACATTGTAGCCATGTGGGGAATCGAACCCGGGCCTGAAGAGCGAACGCTTTAACAACCTGGCTACTTCATTCTCCGCTGGATGATACGTCGTAATATTGTGTGGTTTCTTTCAAACCACCGTTAAACTTAAGGAGAAAGAGCCGATAATAATCTTCTCATTCGTAACAGTCGTCCCTTTCCGTAACCTGAAAGAAGACTCGTACCCCTCTCGTAGCCATGTCCGGGATAAATATCCCCCCAGCCAATCAGTATGCGTGTATGTAGAGAAGAAATTGGGTCAAAATAGTTACTTGAAATAATTTTCATTTCGACTTGCATAATTTTTTCCCAGACACTTCAAGTATATTTTAATTATTGCATAGTACTCATGGGTTTGCTGAATTTTTATAACCAGGATGTATTAACATTATAGCGTAGGATTTAAGCATGTTAAACATACCCTTTGAGGTAATTTCCTTGGCCATTCATGACCATCTCGTGTTATTCCGGGACAAGCCGAATAGCGACCTCGACTCGTGGAAGGATTTCATATTGACGTATGAACATCAGAACTACTTTAAACAAGAACGATAACTCCTGTTTGATTCCAATGGTACTTAATTTCACGGAAGCCCTCGTATATTGTATTGCCGGTTTTGTTTTCGTTTTTATTTATTTATTTTATAGAATTAATCCTCTAAAACACCTACAACTAATGACAATATTTGTTAAAAACACATTCTAACGTAATCATTACCAGCTGTTCACATTATATTTCCAAATATCTATCTCTAAATTAGTGGTGGTCCGATTAATTGAAATAATCGAGGATTGGTCGTAGTGACTAAACGACCAAGCAATCGTTCATAATTTCTCATAATCGAACACAAACAATCCTGGAACACAATATTTTTCACATAGTTAGTTTTGTCTGTTACATTTTGTAAGCACTACAAGCTCGTTTCAAGTCATGATTGAATTTATCTTAAAGATTCCAAGAAATTTATGTTCCTAACATGCTAGTCATCCTTTAAAGATATGAAAATTTGCCCAAAAACACCAAAAGAGCTACATGGTTTTTTTCCTTATTTTTATGTGCATTAACAAATTTCATAAATGATGCTAACCAATTATTTTCGATGATTGAAAGGTAGTAATGAACCAGTCATCAATGTTGAGATTTTAACCAATTCCCAACACTACTCTAAATAGGGGGTAAGAATCACAAGAATAACAAGAATCACAAATATGCAAATACAGAATGTAGAATTATCTTTCTCCCGCTGCATTAAATCTCAAAGCAGATACTGAAAAAATGACTTTAAGATATTTCCCAAACTGAACATTAACCCTAACCCCGGCATGCAACGAAAGGGTGACAGTGCTGCTTTGTGTACATAGCTACATGCGACTAACTTGGGATTCCTTGAAACATTGTTCTCATCATTTGGGACTGGATTGTGGCCAAGCTTTTCAAAGTGTACGAACATAGCAGCGACAGCCGTGCGGGGAAGGTGGCAGAGAGCGACTTTAACCACTAGACTACCGGCGAGGTGGTGTGAATATCAGGGTGGGGGAAACTAGAACTGAGCGTGACGAGCGAACACTTTAACCACTAGACTACCGGCGAGGTGGGGTGAATATCAGGGTAGGGGAAACTAGAACTGAGCGTGACGAGCGAACGCTTAAACCACTAAACTACCGGCGGGGTGGGGTGAATATCAGGGTAGGGGAAACTAGAACTGACCGTGACGAGCGAACACTTTAGGTGGGGTGAATATCAGGGTGGGGGATATTAGAACTGAGCGTGAAGAGCGAACACTTTAACCACCAGGCTACCGCCGGGATGGGGTGAATATCAGGGTGGGGGATACTAGAACTGAGCGTGACGAGCGAACACTTTAACCACTAGGTTACCGCCGGGGTGGGGTGAATATCAGGGTTTTGGGGGAACTAGAACTGAGAGTGACGAGCGAACACTTTAACCACTAGACTACCGGCGGGGTGGGGTGAATATCAGGGTAGGGGAAACTAGAACTGAGCGTGACGAGCGAACACTTTAACCACTAGGCTACCGCCGGGGTGGGGTAACCACCTACCATGCCGGGTGGGGTGAATATCAGGGTGGGGAAACTAGAACTGAGCGTGACGAGCGAACACTTTTACCGGCGGGTGGGGTGAATATCAGGTTTTGGGGAACTAGAACTGAGCGTGACGAGCGAACACTTTAACACTAGGCTACCGCCGGGTGGGGTGAATATCAGGGTGGGGAAACTAGGGTGGGGTGAATATCAGGGTGGGGGAAACTAGAACTGAGCGTGACGAGCGAACACTTTTACAGCGGCCGGGTGAATATCAGGGTGAATATCAGGGTGCGAACACTTTACTAGAACTAGCGTGACGGCTACCGCCGGTAACCACTGGCTACCGGCGGGGTGGGGGGGGGTGAATATCAGGGTGGGGAAACTAGAACTGAGCGTGACGAGCGAACACTTTAACCGACGTGTAAACTGTCTACCGACCATTGGCTACTGACCATCACGCAAACCGGACCATCACGTAAACTGTCTACTGACCATCACGAATATCAGGGTGTGGAAACTAGAACTGGAGCGTGACGAACTGTCTACTGACCATCAGCTAAACTGTCTACTGACCATCACGTGTAAACTGTCTACTGACCATTACGTGTAAACTGTCTACTGACCATCACGTGTAAACTATCTACTGTCCACAACAAGCTATAGCTATCTACTGACGTTACGTGTAAACTGTCTATTGACCATCACGTGTAAACTGTCTACTGACCATCACGTGTAATCTGTCTACTGACCATCACGTGTAAACTGATCACGTTCTTGCTGCAGGTATGACTGGGGCACGAATCACAACAAGCATCACGAGCTCGGCTGTCAGGGCGAGCCCCGCGGGGAGTTCTTGCCCATGGTCTGGGGCTACTGGGGTCAGAAGATGAACTTCCCAAGCTCCACCCACAACGTGCTCGGCTTCAACGAACCCAACTACAAAGACCAGTCCCACATGACCCCTCAAGCTGCTGCCACGCACTGGCGGGAGCTCCAAACAGCGGCCCAAGGGATGTCCCTGGTCAGTCCGGCCCCAGCTCGATGTGGCAGTGTTGGGGGACTATGCACAGAGGAAACTTACAAATGGCTGGATGACTTCTTCAAAGCTTGCAGCGGCTGTCAAGTCGACTACGTGGGCGTCCACAGGTACACCTGCAACGCTGACAACGACATAAGGTTCCTGGAGACTGTGTACCATCGGTACCACAAGAAGGTGTGGCTGACGGAGTTCGCCTGTCCCTATTCTTCCTCCCGTGCGCACATTGAGAACTACATGAAAGCCATCATCCCTCGACTAGAGGCTGCACCGTTTGTGGCACGCTACGCATGGTTCCAATCCAGACTAACGCAGGGCAATAACTTCATCCACAATGATCCTTAGGGTTAGAGTTTAGGGTAAGGGTCTACACTCTTTCAGATCCTTAGGGTTAGAGTTTAGGGTAAGGGTCTACACTCTTTCAGATCCTTAGGGTTAGGGTTAGTGTCTGGTACCCTTTCAGATCCTTAGGGTTAGTGTTAGTGTCTGGTACCCTTTTCGATCCTTAGGGTTAGAGTTTAGGGTAAGGGGCTATCACTCTTTGAGAACCGTAGGGTTAGGGTTAGTGTCTGGTACCCTTTCAGATCCTTAGGGTTAGTGTTAGTGTCTGGTACCCTTTTCGATCCTTAGGGTTAGAGTTTAGGGTAAGGGGCTATCACTCTTTGAGAACTGTAGGGTTAGGGTTAGTGTCTGGTACCCTTTCAGATCCTTAGGGTTAGGGTTAGTGTCTGGTACCCTTTCAGATCCTTAGGGTTAGAGTTTAGGGTAAGGGACTACACTCTTTCCGATCCTTAGGGTTAGGGTTAGTGTCTGGTACCCTTTCCGATCCTTAGGATTAGGGCAAAGGGCTATCACCCTTTCAGATCCTTAGGGTTAGTGTTTAGGGCAACGGGCTATCACTCTTTCAGATCCTTAGGGTTAGGGTTCGTGTCTGGTACCCTTTCCGATCATTAGGGTTAAGGTTAGTGTCTGGTACCCTTTCAGAACCTTAGGGTTAGGGTTAGTGTCTGGTACCCTTTCAGATCCTTAGGGTTAGGGTTAGTGTCTGGTACCCTTTCAGATCCTTAGGGTTAGGGTTAGTGTCTGGTACCCTTTCAGATCCTTAGGGTTAGGGTTAGTGTCTGGTACCCTTTCCGATCCTTAGGGTTAGGGTTAGTGTCTGGTACCCTTTCCGATCCTTAGGGTTAAGGTTAGTGTCTGGTTCCCTTTCCGATCCTTTTTAGCAGACATGTCTTTAGATGCAAACAACCCTTTCCGATCCTTAGGGTTTGGGGTTAGACCTGACCCAGTAATCTGGAGAAATGCGTTTGTGCTAATTAATCTGAAAAAGTACAAAGCTCCCCATCTTCATCATACAAGCTTTTAAATGCCACTCAAAGGTGCATTTATTATTAAACCAATACTACAAGGTCAATATGGATTATTGTTTAAAATTCTGCCAAGCTTAAAGGTGAAACAAAATATGATAAAAGGGGGGCAACTCTGAATCGGTCACGGCATGTGATACTAAGACTGCCTGTCGGTAGAGTGTTCGTCATGGCGGATTCTCGTGTATATTGATTTTTCACAAAATATCACAATTTCTTTCATCAGGTGGTCAGATGTAATACGTAATATTTGGGACAACGCTTTTTCAGTAAAGAACCAAATTTTACTAGTAAGGCAGCAAACTCCCAGCACAGAAAGTAGGTGAGCTAAATCACTCAGCCACCGAGGCTTCCATAAAATCCTCGTTGGGTGCTGGCAAGTTGTTGGTTCACTCTTGGAGTGTGGGTGCAAATCTGGAATGGGGCTCAACCCGAAGAGAATAACATAGTCAAAGGTCAAAGTTAAAGTTTGATAAGAAAATCAATGTAAGCCAAAACAACATACGTTATTCCTCGTACCTCACATAAATCTAATCATATAATGATGCCAGAACAAATGTGTAGGTAATTGATAAACTTGACATTTTCAGCATGGGGGAATTTGATGGGGGTAATTATTGTGTAAAAAATGCAATGGTTCAATGAAGAATGGGGTAAGAAATAAATCTGAAACATGACCCCTACAGGTTTGCTCCCAAAACCCAAAGAGCCCAAAGCTCAAGTGAAATATTGTTGAACCTTTGCTAGAATAAGAGGTACTGAAACAATGTATTTGGGTGGAAATTGATATTTAAACCTCAAGTTCAATATTATTGAACTTTTCTTCAAATGTTTTTGTTATCATCCATTAAAACCATTCTCTTAATTTCTAAACGTTTGGGCTGGTCCGTTGTATGAAATACGTAACAGACAGGAGATTAGCAGTGCACTGGGCCATAACTTTGTTGTCATAAGCTGTAGGGGTTATGGGATGTAGGGGTTTGGGGAGGTTACACTTCTAATACTTACAGCTCTTCTTACAGCTTTCAGCATCATTCAACCACACAAGTTAACCAGAGTAAAATAGAACAAAGCTATCAGAGTAAAGTACATATTTTTATTGTCTATGATTTCAAATTTCCACAACAGATTTAATGACAACGTGGACATTATCATGATATTTTCATAAAAATATATACAACCATGACCCTTAACCTCTGACTATTCAACCATCAGGCCTTCAGCCATGGCCTATAGAATAATGGTATAGGATTAACAACATTACTATCTGAGCAAGTTGTTGGGAAAACACAATCTGAAACCAGAGGAAGCAAACTTCTGATGTAGTGGTACTAACAGATACCGATTCCATCTTTAAGTAGCATCTTAATGCTCAGTTGTTGATTCTGTATATGAAATGCAATCAAGGTTTTTACTTTATGCCTCAGGCCTAATATATCTTCAAAAGCATCATATGATGTTATTAGCTGAGCCCACTTGACCAAAAAGAATTTTACTAGACTTGGGAATCAGACTATTATCTAAAGTCACAGAATGTACATTATGGCTAAGTACAGTTAATGAGCCATGTCACCATTCAATTCAGACAGAAATGACAAGATGGTTAAAACATTCAATTCATCCATCAATCACCCTCGACTGTCAAATGCATCATATCTGCATTCTACAAATACCAAAGCATTGTTTTAATAAGTTTGATGAAAATTGCCATCCAAAATGTTTAATGTTCTTTCAAGAGCAGCTGTTTATCTGTATGTGTTTGGACTTTCACGAGGTCACCAATACACCTGAACCTCTTGTGGCATAATGGCTTCCTTCACCATTGTGTAACGACACTGGTCAACACATTTCTGTTCACAAAGCAGTGAATGGGTACCTGGTGGTATAAGTCATGTGATTACTAACCTTCTAGTCCCTCACAGGCAGCTTGGGTTATCTGGGGTAATAATGCCCAAGATGTTGTTCTGTGCCATCTAAGCTGCCTTATTGTTACTGTTTAGTAATACTGTTTAGCTAAAGGTTCATTCACAAAATTCTTCAGATTCAATCCAACTTGAAGACATTGTGATTTTGAATGCATATGTGTTACATCTGCTTGTGTTTATAACTGCATTTCCCTTGATGATTTCAGTTTCATGAGCAGGAAATATTTGGTGTTAAATTAATGAAAAGAGATATCATGTCACAAAACCAGGGTGTTGGATGGTAGTGATATAAATAGAATGGCGATACGATACATTAGATAATCAAGCGACAGACAAAGACACGCCCTGTGTCAATGTTCAAATCTGATTTGTTTCCAGCTGGTCACACATTCTATCTATTTTAAACATATATACTGAGGGAAACAAATAGAGGAAGGGAGATACAACATAATGTTGACACCAGTCACTGATAGATGTAAAGCATCATCATTGCACATTGGGTGACAGTGGTGTCTGTCGAGGCGAGTGAGTATAGTTAATTGCAACTTTTAGCAATATTCTAGCAATATCACAGCTGGAGATACCTGAAATTGGCTTCACACAGTGAACCCATGAGGGGATTCAATCCCAGGTCTCTGGCATAATGAGCTACCACTTTAACCCCCCTATGCTACCCTGCCAATGTAGTCACTGACCAGAGCTCAGTTTGTCTCATGTGGCAGGAAAAGAGTATATCTTAATAGCAGCTGACATTTTCTGGATGGAAATTGTTCTGTTATTTCTTTCCTTCAGTATATATTGTTTATGAGTTGTTCTAATGATCCCACACCAAATAACTACAGCTTGAATGTCATCTCAACATCCAACATTATCAAGAGGTTGATTCTCATCATCAGTAGTTCAGGACTGTTGACATCATGGATTAGATGTTCCCCATCACCTGTCCACATGTCCATATATGTTGGAGTGGTGACATGTGTAGATTTAGATCATGAAATGAGGCTATGAAAAACAGAGGTCAATTCTGTGCTATGCACACAATGTCAACCTAAATATTTAGTGGAAACAATGGGATCATCCGTTGGAGTCTGGGATCTGGAAAATGATCTGTGAATTGAGGTTGTGATTGCAAAATGTCCAAAAAGTGCTAACCAGACATTTCAAAATTTGCCAAACAGATATTTTCAGATATTTATCGATTTCCCATTTGCTGGAACCAGATCGTTGCTCAATTCATTCCTTGCAAACACATCACAAAGCAGACATAAGTCTTCACTGCTGACGGAGAAGTGTGGAGTATACGCAAGACCGTGACATCAATGGTGGTATATTCTGAGTGAGCCTATTTCATTACCCTAGTGTTGTGAATCCAGTTTGATATTCATAAGCAAGTTTAAAGCCTATCCGACATCAAGCTACACATAAGGCTGTGAAAAACATGGGTCTGGCATCAAACATTATCATTGACATCCAGAAGAAGGATGTTGCAAAGGATACTATTTGAAAATGTATACAAGACATTAAAACTTTATCGTTTGAAACACTTAAGAATTATGTTGTCAAATATGTCTTGAAATTGTAAAACTCTGAAAATCAAGTTTCAAATTTTCATTTCGTTGTTATTTGCAAAGGTTCCAAATTATTCATTTATAAAAACAACATGACATATTACTATTATACACACATTTTTCTCACCACAGCCTCACTGTAGAAGGACAATGTAATAATCTAGGCCAATTTAATCACTTGTTTTATGGTTTATTAAACAATTTCCTTAGCAAGCAAACACTTATTAGGAATTTTCCCCAAACCATTTTAACCTAAAATAGGTGGATCTATCTTCGATATTATACACAAAAGGAGAATTAATGGGTTCATGGGTTCTTTGCTTCCACAAGGTCAACTTGCGTTATATTTAAATTCATGAACCCCCAAAATCTATAACTTTGCAGGGTTCACCATATGAGATGAGTACCGGTCATTTATCATGGGGGCTGTTAGAGGCATAACACACAAATATACTGAACACTTCATATTGTTTGGTGGTGCTCACCCTGATTAACTCTGAGCCCCCCCATTATGGTCAGTCCCTGGGTGTCTTTGGCAGTGAAGGTGACTGTGACACTTCTCTCTTTGATTTACTGTAGGTACTTTAGTAAATACACTACATCCCCCAGACATGAAACATTCTTCAGAGGTTTTCACAAGAAACCATTAACAGAAACTTGGAAGCTGCATGGGAGGTAATGCTGGCCAGAGTGTGAAAAGTGCAAACTTGTAGTGAAGAAATTGAGAAACTGAAAGCTTAATAGGAAAGTTTTGATCCAAATTTATACAACTACATACCTACTTTGGGTTTTCTTTAATACACAGAATGCATATACCAATTATACCGGGAATTTCATTTTTGTCACTTTGTACAAAGTTTTCAAGGATCTTCCCTATTTTTGTACATGGCAAAAGATGACATATATTTTGCTGAATATGATAAGGTTATCAATATTGTATTTTAGTGAACCAGCTTCTGAAATAAGCAGACGATGGCAAAACCATTCAAATTCTAAAGAAAATGCGAAAGAATGAAAGCATCTTGAACATCAGTCTAAAGTGAGTGAGTGAGTTTAGTTTAACGCCGCTTTTAGCAATATTCCAGCAATATCACGGCAAGGGACACCAGAAATGGGCTTCACACATTGTACCCATGTGGGGAATCCAACCCCGGGTCTTCGGCATGACGAGTGAACGCTTTAACCATTAGGCTACCCCACTGCTACATCAGTCTGAAATAAATGCTAAGCTACTATCATGGCTGTACAGGAAGACTCTTTACTTGTTATTTAGATGAATCAGTAACCATGGTAACTTGACATGTCTTCAGATTGTATGATAACAATGGTCCCTTTTCTCCCATAATTTCATTAAACATATTTTCATGACACCCCCAGCCCCCCTCCATTAATAAAAAGAAGTTAAAATGTATTCAATTTTCAATTAGAATGTATAGTGTCATTTTTAAAATAGATGTTATGTCTTCTCCCAACCCCAACCTTTTTGTTACCTCCCCCTTTAATCCTTCTAACCCCTTCACAATGATCAATGACCAGGCCATAATCCTTTAAGAGTCTACACAAACATGACATACAGAATATAAACTGATATAGGAATAACATTTCATGAGACAAACAAATAATATTGAACTTTCATCTGTGGACTAGACTTGAGTGAGATAAGTAACTTAGTCACAGCTTTCCTGGTCTCACAAATACCCGTGTGATGCAGAGTTACCTCCTTCCACAATATTCTTTCAGATAAGGAACCATTGACGTTTAATACAGTTAGAAATGTATGTTTCTTCCTCTATAGTGATTAAGCAGGTTCTAAAATGAAATACACTAGAAGTTTGGAAAACTGTTCCTAAAAAGATAAAAGATGTCCACCCATTTTATATAACTCTCTCTCTCTATATATATATATATATTCTGCTGGCCATTCTAGATTATTCAGGGTGTTATAGGACTGGCTACTGATAAAGATCATAGAGATACAAAAACATGAACTGACAATCGATCGATTATCGATAAATATCGGAGAAGCAACTTTGAGCAAAAGTGCCTCCAAAATCGCAAAGAAATCAACACATTCACATCACTGGTGAGTGGTGATATATTTTGGATTACTAACTCTACTCTGTCCTGAATATAATTTAGAAGCTGCGTATGAATAAAAACCTAAGTTTGCAAATAGTCTGAGTAAATTAAAACTTTATTTCATCACAATAGGTTATTACTAGTGACACAATTTCCATACTGATAATCAATAATAATATTTCCAATTGACAATCTATCCGATTATCAGTCTTTGTACCCAGCCCTTTTGTACTATATCTCTATTCTGTGACGGTACACACCTGAGCTCATACACCAGCATAGCTTCATTTTGAGCTTGGTCCATGACACAGCAATATAGTGAGTGAGTTGGGTTTTACACATCCTCGATAATCTCCAGGGTACACGTTCTGATAAATCTCCACTATACCCTGGAGGCATCTACGGCTCGGCCGATAATTTTATTACCTCCCTTTGCTGGCTCCGCATTCTCACAGTAGCCAATCCGCCGTTACAACCAAGCTTGCCAGTGTCAACAAAGATAGCGGTTGCAGCCGCGAAAGTTTGTTTGCAGTGCGACTCAGGTTTGGGGGGAAAACATTCAGACAAATTGACAGGTCTGAAACCTTAAAACAAATATATGCAAGAACCTCTTCTACCTCTTTCAGAGTACCTCTGCCAATATATTATTGTGTTATAATCGGTTAGATAATTTAAAAAGCGAAAGTGAGTTGTGATTGGTACGCTCAACTTCCCAGCGTAGACACCTGATTGGATAAAAAGCCAACCAAGGGAGATTTATCGGAAAGTATACCCTGGAGATTATCGAGGATGGGTTTTCAACTGCTTTTAGGAATATTCCAGCAATATCACTGCAGGGGACACTAGAAATGGGCTTCACACCCTTGTGGGGAAAATGCAGGATTAGCTCCCTTGACATAATAACACTCGTTTAAGCATATTTTCCAATTTCTGATCCCATTCAAAGTATCTGATCGTGAAAGCACACCTATGGAAAATTGTGGTTCACAGGAAACATTTTCTTTGGAAACTTATTTCAAGCTCAAGAGAAGAAGCAATATCGTATTAGGTTAGTGATAACAGAAGTAGATGGCGACATTACTCCCGAGATGAAGCTATGGATTGAATGGGCTCAGGGTATTTATTTAGGAATGGAGATAATGCACCCTGCATAACAGAGGATGGTTACTGACCAGTTTACAGCTATCATACAACTTAAGTCTTCTGTTAACTGAAAAACCATGTACAGATGAAAATGCACTCAAAATACATACATTCATAACCCATAAAAATATCTTACAAATATTTCCAATGACGAGAAATAATCACAATGAACTATGTGTAACTGGCTAAAACAAAAACAAAAAAATTGACATAAAATATTCTTTTACACACCCTTGTTTGTTGCCAATTAGAAAGCAATTAAAGTTTTCTATTCTCTCATGAACTTGATAAACATACACATCAAACTATCATAAGAAATATTTTTGGCCGACATTCAAACAATATTTAGGTTTGAGCCACAGGTCAAGGAGGCTTATAATGAGCACTTTCTCTACACAAGGAGGATACATTAATAAACGGAATTAAAATTAGGAAATGAAATATTTAAATTCGGTATTCAGATGACAGGCAGCAAGGTGTAAACCAGGTGATATTCTTCACACAGATACCAACAAAACAGCGGAACACAAACTGCTGGGAGACAATAGCATAGGAATCCAGATATAATGTACATTCCAGTTGGAAAATGATATCACCTGAAACATGAATAAAATATACATTATTGATTTTCGTACATGCAAAATACACAACAACTCATTTCCCAGCTCCCCATCCACAGTTCTGAGTCTGGGTAATGATGCCTGACAATTTGGAATTTTACATTACGTGCTGACGATAATCCACATCCTTTACTAAATACCATGTTACTCCATGTTACTCCATGTTACCAGACTGGTCGTACACATCCACATTGCCAAGAACAAGTTCCGCATCCATACTGTTACGTTCGCTTGAAGAAAGCACCTTGAGAAAAGTAAGCAATTCCGAGCTCCTCCGTTTTGGCTTAGAATGGCTTGCCGTTGACATTCTCTACTGTTTCCATTGACTTTATAACTTGAAATTGTTGTTAAGTTCTTGGATTGTTTTCCTGGCAGCCTTTTGTACTATACAGAGTGTGTTGGGTCTATTTCATCACATCTGTCACCGTTTCTTCAAGTGGTTCGTTATCCATTCTAAACCCTGGTACAACCTGCAAACAAAGATGATTTTTTCATTAGTGAGTGAGTTGGGTTTTATGCTGCTTTTAGTAAAATTTCAGGACCATCACAACCGGGATACCAGAACACTGTACCCATAAGGGAATCAAACCCAGGCCTTTGGCATAAATGAGCAAACACACCTGGCTCCCCTACCCCTGCCATATTTCATCAGAAACAGTGAGTATTCCTTCGCCACAGCCATTAACAGAGTGTGCCAGAAATGTCTAGTTTACTACACTTGGGTTTCAGACTTGGGGTTTGTTTGTCAGAGATCACTGTAAGTTATTGTGAATTAGTAAGAATGCAATACACCGGAGACCTTCCGCCATATTTTAATCATTTGCAGCTTCGGTCAATTTATTTTATTCATTGACATTATTTTGAGGAATTATGGGTTATGGGTTGGGGTTGGGGGTGAGGGTTAGGAGTTAGGGTTAGGAGTTAGAGGTTATGGGTTATCGGATAGGGGTGAGGGGCTAGGGGCGAGAGTTAGTGGTGGGGGTTGAGGGTGAGGGGTGAGGGGTGACAGTTAGGGGTGAGGGTGAGTGGTGAGAGTTAGGGGTGAGAGGTTATGGATGAGTGGTGAGGGGTTAGGTTGAGGGGTGAGGAGTTTGGGTTGAGGTAGAGGGTTGAGGGTAAGGATGAGCTGTGAGAGTTAGGGGTGAGCGGTTAGGGGTGAGAGTTGAGGGGTGAGGGGTGAGGAGTTAGGGGTGAGGTTGAGGAGTGAGGGTTGGGGGTGAAGGGTGAGGGTGAGGTTGAGGGGTGAGAGTTAGGGGTGAGGGGTGAGTGGTTAGGGTTAAGGGGTGAGGGTTAAGGGTTAAGGGGTAGGATTAGCATTAGGGACCTAATCCAATATGGTAGGTAGGTGTCCAGTGTAATGCATGTGCACCTTCAGGACATCAACAAGATGCTGATATGAAGTTTTGTTTTGGATGTTTGTCATTAGCAATGCATTTATCAATGTTCCATCAAAATATGTTCTGTAAATAATCAAGTCCAGACCAGACATTTGTCAATTCTCACAACAAGCAAGGCTTTCTGGAGACCAAACTCCCAAGTATTCATGGGGCAGTACACCAGACTGTAAGGGAATTCATGGCAAGTGACTTACTGTAAACGTACTTATTTTCGCGTGGTGCAATTTTCGCGGAATTGACAGTTTAGACTACATCGCGCGGTCAATTATTCGCGCAATCAGTAATTGCCGGAACTGCCAGCTGTCTCTTTGGCCGCCACTAATAGCAGTGAAAACAAACAGAGTGGCTTAACCTGTCAGGCGGCGTTTATTACTTACTCACAGGAAATATGCGATATACTAGTACACAGTAATCCGTTTACTCCCCGGAAGAGATGAAAAACACATCAGTCTTATGTTCCAAATTCGACGATCTGACGAATTAACTTCTACTGTATATGAAGCTCTTTGTGATTTCAAACAAGCCGGGTTGTTGTGAATGAGATGATTGAGTGTTAGTGACTATTCGCTTCATGATGATACGTTTGTATCTAAATGAATAAATAAAATACTGCTGTATTATTTCTTTCCGAGTCGTTTCATGGTAATCTGTTTTGCATCAAACCATCTGTCATGTGACCAATTTCCATGGCGGCCACAACACACATTGCTGTTTTCGCTAATTCGGCGATGGGATTTGGCTCATTATTTAATTATGTTTTGGGAAATCCATTACAGCGACAGTTAAGTTTGATTCTTTATGCTACTATCAGTCGTCATTTTAAGATTCACGTAGATTTCTGTCTTCAAACGTGATGTGTTATGGTAACAACTCAGGGCGAGCGTGGCTAGACTGAATGAATGACAGGTTTATTCGCGGTGTATAAATTTTCGCTCTAAAATGTTTTGCGCGAAAAGCGCGAAAATAAAACCTGCGCGAAATATACTACGTTTACAGTATCTTAAGATCACTTTGTACAATGCATCCTCAAAGCATTCATAGTGCTATGAAAGTATTAAGTCTATATTAAAGTATGTGATCACCTTAGCTACTGCAGATTTGTGGAATGGACCACTGGTCCTCAAAGGGAACAAACCAAGTCGGGTAATTATTTAAATTATCTTGTGCAGCCAGTTTGGCAGAGGCTAGTGGCAGTTGTGATCTTACCCTTCCCCAGTGAGGGCACAGCATCCCTGTATGTGCCATACATGGTCTTTGATTGAGGTAAGAGACAGCTGCTGAGAGATCTCCGCCGCCGACATACATCCCTTGATGTCCTGCTTGTTGGCAAATACCAGCACCGAGGTCTTTCTCAGATCCTGTATTAAGAGTGAGTGAATGTGGGATTAAGTGATATAGCTTTAACAATTAGAAACACCTCAGTTAAACCTCGTTAAATAAAGAAGGTGATATAATGGATGAAGACTAAAGTGCCCAATCCAGTGTTTCACCAAAGTTGTTATTAAACAGGTAAAGATATAACCAGAACATCTAACCCTCTTGCTGTTGACGCCTGTACAGTGCGCTTAAGTGGCTCAGTTTAGAAATTGCCTTAAAGGTGAATGTACGATGATTCATTGTTGATCCAACTGAACTTTCCACATTTTACTACAGAAATATTTCCTTCTGTTCCTGAGACAGTGAATATGGTTTTACATTGCTTTCAACAATATTCCAGCAATATCACCACAAATGGGCTTCACACATTGTACCAAAGTGGGGAATCAAACCCAGCCATTTGGTGGGACAAGTGAACACATGAACCACAAGGCTGCCCCACCCCTTTGAGTACAGCATAGCAGTTACAACTGGCGATGACAGAAATACATATGTAATGAAATATTGTTTGGTAGAAGCCACTGTCTGGAGACCGGGAATAATATTTTCATTATCGAATCTTCAGATGGAATTAAAAAGCCTGCCCTCTTATTGCAACAACAACAACCTTTGTAAGGTGAGACAGGAAATGAACCCTGCAAATGGTTACCTACCTCATGATGCATCATCTTCGTCAGTTCTTCCTTTGTCAAGGACAATCTCTCTCTGTCTGTGCTGTCAATCACGATGATAATAAACTGAAACATGAAGTTACCTCCATTAATATCTATAAATGTAACAACGAGTTAATGGACAAACGTCCAATCTCACTGAAGTCAGATCTTGGTTTTTGCTTCTGCTAAACAATGGGACTGCTTTTGGGTAATATTTCACAAATGAACCCAGGAAAATCCGTGTTAGAAGTGGTTTAAGACTAAAGGGATCGGGTGGTCAGGCTTGGTGACTTGGTTGACACATGTCATCGTATCGCAACTGCATAGACCAATGCTCATGTTGTTGATCACTGGATTGTCTGGTCCAGACTCCAATATTTAAGGACTGCCGTCATATAGCCAGAATGTTGCTGAGTGCAGCGTTAAATAACAAACAAACAAACCCAAATGAAACAAATGGTCACACACTAATTAATCAAGTCAAGTTTGGTTTGCTAGTTGTATATATGCCACAATATTCAACATTTCAGCTCTGTAACGACATGATAAAATAAACCAATCTGGACCAGACAATACAGTGATTGACACTGCGAGTATCATCAAATATCATCAGGATATCATCATCAACCACAATCAACAAGTAAGCTACAGAACCTGAACATCTGATCCACTGAGTGACCTCCTACAACCTTCCTATTCTGCCAGGTACTTACTTACATTCCTAACAGGAGCACAGTTAACGACAGATGAAGAGTGAGTGAGTGAGTATGGTTTTAGACCGCTTTTAGCAATATCCAAGCAATATCACAGCAGGGACACCAGAAATGGGCTTCACACATCATATTCAGTTATGGAATCTAACAGATGAAGATGAGCCTTTCATATAACTATGAGTGATCTGTCTGACTATGAACCTTTCATATAACTACGAGTGATCTGTCTGACTATGAACCTTTCATATAACTATGAGTGATCTGTCTGACTATGAACCTTTGGTATAACTATGAGTGATCTGTCTGACTATGAACCTTTCATACAACTATGAGTGATCTGTCTGACTATGAACCTTTCATACAACTATGAGTGATCTGTCTGACTATGAACCTTTCATACAACTACGAGTGATCTGTCTGACAATGAACCTTTCATATAACTATGAGTGATCTGTCTGACTATGAACCTTTGGTATAACTATGAGTGATCTGTCTGACTATGAACCTTTGGTATAACTATGAGTGATCTGTCTGACTATGAACCTTTGGTATAACTATGAGTGATCTGTCTGACTATGAACCTTTGGTATAACTATGAGTGATCTGTCTGACTATGAACCTTTGGTATAACTATGAGTGATCTGTCTGACTATGAACCTTTGGTATAACTATGAGTGATCTGTCTGACTATGAACCTTTGGTATAACTATGAGTGATCTGTCTGACTATGAACCTTTGGTATAACTATGAGTGATCTGTCTGACTATGAACCTTTCATACAACTATGAGTGATCTGTCTGACTATGAACCTTTGGTATAACCACAGTGATCTGTCTGACTATGACCTTTGGTATAACTATGAGTGATCTGTCTGACTATGAACCTTTGGTATAACTTCACGAAAGTGATCTGTCTGACTATGAACCTTTGGTATAACTATGAGTGATCTGTCTGACTCTGAACCTTTGGTATAACTATGAGTTATCTGTCTGACTATGAACCTTTGGTATAACTATGAGTGATCTGTCTGACTATGAACCTTTGGTATAACTATGAGTTATCTGTCTGACTATGAACCTTTGGTATAACTATGAGTGATCTGTCTGACTATGAACCTGTGGTATGCACATGAAAGAACTGAGTGTTCTCATGTTTCTCTAACTTGTTTCGAGTAGTATACACATGTTGTAGTATTTCCTCACAGGGCTAAAACAAAGACACAATATTTCTTTAACTTGTTTGTCCAATTTTCAAGGACAGCAACTGTCAGAATATGAAACATGACACCTCACAGAAATACACTCCAGTAATGTAAGGTCAGGCTCACATGCGTTCTTTAAAAATCAATATTTCAAAATCCGACAGCAGTTGTATTGGTCTCTAGGCAACCATACACATAATCTTGTCCTATCTTTTTATGTATTCAGTGGAAGGTAGGGCTTGACATTTACTGGCTGAATGAAGATCACACTCACTCACTCACTCACTCATCTTATATGCTCAGTGACATACTCTTTGTTTCATTTTCTTCAAAGAGTTTTACAAATTCACATATTTCTGGTATAATGAAAACAAGTTGTGTGAGGTGGGTTAAAATATATTTTAAGATTATGTTAGATCAGGGGGTGGAAATAACCCATTGCCCGACGTCTGAGTCCAGTGGGTTTTTTCTGTCGGGCAAGCAAATTTGTATGTCACACTGTACCGGTGTCCAGTTGACTTTCCAATGTTAATAATGTTATTTATTTAAAAAATCAACAAGAAAACAGACGGTATAGTGGGAAAATTATTAGGGCAAGTGATTTTACATGTGTCAATGTACCGGAGTACACTAGCAATTTTAAAGTTATTTCCACCCCCTGTAGATATACAGGAAGTCAAGTTAGTTCAGTACATCAATGAATATTTGAAAGCAACAATGGAGTTACATGAGCCAGATCATTTCCACGTCTTTCACTAAAGCCAAGATATTCTCATTCATATTAATTCATCTTATTTCACAGGCCTTATCAGCATCTACATTATAGCTTGCAGCAAAAGCATCTTATCACCAGCTTAAATAAATAATAGCTTATGACACGAATCAGATAGCTGGCATTAAGGAGTGGATGTTCCAATGCTTTAGGAAAGACAAGCTCCATTAGTGTCAAGGATTTCACCACACCACTTAACATTCAGACCTGGGGAAATGTGCATATAACTTAAACAAAAACAGCCAGGATGACAGATGATGCCGGGTCAAGTGGACATAAAAATCAGGATTAGGATTTTTTAAATATATTTTTTTAAATAATAGAGAAATTGATTATGGAAGAAATACTTCATGTTTGGCCCCCTGGAATTCTCAAATTTGACTTGTTTCAAATTTGAAATATTGTTTCACTAGATATATCAGACATTGACAGATGAAAACATCTGAGTTTTCAATTTAAAGGTTAAGACGGATCAATTCAGCACCTTGAGCTGTGATGAATTTTTAAACACTGTAACACCAGCTTTATCTACACCTCCTCAGGAAGCAAGTCTGCCTTGGTCAAATATTTGAAGAGTTTTCTTAAAACGCCACCTTTCTTAACACATTTCACCCTCAACAGCTGGATGTCATGTCATTACAGTCCTAAACATGTGGATTTTGTTGAAAATATAAATCATTTACTTAATATGAATCCTCATATTATTTCTCAAAACTTTGCTGTTCTTGAATTAATAAATGCATCACAGTGAGGTCTGATTATGTCAAGAACTGAAACAAGTATTTGAGAAAAGATGTCCAACTGTCGGCATTCAGTCAACGTGTGAATATTGTTTTCAATGTATAAAGCACACCTCGCCAACTTGTGCACAGTCTTATAAATACAACCTTTAATGTGTCCTGGGGTAAGAAGGAAAACTGACAGTCTGTAGGTGCTTAAAACATTACAGATCTTGTTACCATGGTAACAGAAACAGAAGGGGTATATATTTGCTTGTGACTATTATCGAATAGCTTTTCGCTACATCAATGTTTGAAGTCTGTTTCCTCCTGACCGATCCCTGACAATAAATTACAGTTTTTATAAACTCCCCATATTGTCAATTTTCAAAATGTGCCTGAGGGAGTTGTTACAGGAATATCACAATATCATGAATATGTCTTTGTTACAAGTCTAGTGTGTGAGATTGTGAGCTCCATGCAACATCCTTCTACACTATGTGTTCCTCTGTTGAATATCTGCCCTAAACCTTATGTTGAAAGCAAAGGAATAAAATACCACAAGTACCCTGGAACCCTCTTAATGTTGAACTGCTCGAAAATAGTTCCAGAATGAGAGGTCATTGTCGAAAGTCGATTGTGTCAGTCCAAAGTCAGGACACTGCTAAACCCATGGGGATTCTGGGTAACTCTATGTATGTATCGGGTGGCTGGGATCAGCAACTTGGAGAAGTTTGTATTACCATATCTAAATTGGGTCAATGGATGCTCATGATGTCAATCACGGGATTGTTTGGTCAAGCCTTGATCATTTACAAGGTGTCATCACGTCATTTCCAACCTCATCCCCCCTGAACACAAACACACCATCCTCTCTACCCCCCTTCTTCTCTGAGGCTCTCCTCCCTCACTACCTCTCCCCAAAATCCCCAGCCCCGCCTCTTTAGGCTATTACCTCTGTGTTGGTGTAGTACGTGTTCCAAGCCGACCGCAGCGTCTCCTGTCCGCCAATGTCCCACATGAGGAAGTGGATGTTCTTCCACACTACCTCCTCCACGTTGCTGCCGATAGTGGGCGATGTGTGGACGACCTCGTTCATCAAACTGCAAACACATCAAGCCTTAAAACATACCTCTGTGTTTTCAGTTGTCTTCCTGATCTTATCTCTACCTCTGCTTCATACTCAGCTGACAGTAATATCACTGTTTGGACCATTGTTACAGAAGCTTATGAGAATTTTCTGGGCCTGGGCTCATGGCTAGGGGATAAAGTCTCAGACTGTTTATATTCAACTGCATGGAGTGAGAGAGTATGGTTTTTATGCCGCTTTCAGCAATGTTCCAACAACATCAGGGCGGGGGACACCAGAAATGGGCTTCACACATCGCTAACCAGGTCATCAGCGTAACTGGCAGCTGATTTACCCACTGGGCTAATCCCACACTCCTTACCGCAAGGAAGGTACAAAGTTTTAAATCTAACTCACACTGAATACAGACTAATTTGTAACAATGGCAACAGGCAAACATTAAGTCAGGTTGCTGACTGCTTTCAATAATCTTAACTTAATTATTGATTTGAACACAAAACTAGAGGTATCAACATGCATCCACCAGTAGCTATCTTTGACAAGCAGACCAGAGGCTGTATGAGACTAGCAGACCAGAGGCTGTATGAGACTAGCAGACCAGAGGCTGTATGAGACTAGCAGACCAGAGGCTGTATGAGACTAGCAGACCAGAGGCTGTATGAGACTAGCAGACCAGAGGCTGTATGAGACTAGCAGACCAGAGACTAGTAGGTGTGTGTATGTGTCCAGTTCTAGGCTGTAAACTTCTGACACTGCTGCCAGATTCCACGACAAACACGGAGGGTCAAACAGCTATACTCACAACTGATACAAAATCGTGGTCTTCCCTGCATTGTCCAAGCCAACTATTATCACCTTATGTTCTGAAAAAGAGAAAACATATGTTACAAATCGACAAACAAAACTTCAAACACATTAGGCATTGTTTATTGTTCCTTCTCCTTCCAATTGGTTTAAACATATTTATTTCAAAAAAAGGAACCGGATTGGTAAACAAGCAGTATGGTGCTTATCTGAATACCGCTCCGGAATACAGATAAATTATAGATATAATAATCGTGCGGAGAAAAGTATGATATTAACAAACGATAAACAATAGCTTTCTGGAAATGTAACAATCATAAACTGTAATATAGCCGCTTTTAACGTTAGAGCCATTAGTGTCGGAAAACACTTAATAGTAAGTGCAATTTCATTTTTACTATTACAACACAAATCTGCCTGACAGTACAATGAAAGAATGGATAGATTCCTTCCAATTGTCCATGTAATTCATTAATTTCACTACTTTTTCTTTCATTAAGTCAGTTTTAAAAATACACACAGATGGCAGAACATGTGTACATTGTTTGTCAAGAATTAACTTTAATGACTATTACTGGAAACGCATTTCTTTAGAGTGTGCAACGTTTGTCCTCATTAACTTTACAGGAGGGAGATTATCTGACTTGAGCATGTCATGACCCATTCCCCTAGTCAACATCCCCCTAGGTCCATCACACCAGGGATATCTCATCCAAGGTACAAGTCACGCTGGTATATTACCCACCACTTGTATTTATTGCTGCTTCCAGACAATGGCACCTCATGACCTGTCAGTGTCTGGTGCAGATTGCATGTCAGTCATCAAGTTTATAGGGACATCTCAGTTTAAGTGCGGATCATAGCCACTGCAATGAATATGTCCACTAGATTTGTCCTAAACATCGGTCGAGTACTGGAATATGTCCACTAGATTTGTCCTAAACATCGGTCGAGTACTGGAATATCCGGAACCTCATCATGTCTAACCATGCAGGGGTGAGAATGAAGTTTTGAGAAAAACTAGCCGAGGGTTTAGCATCTATCAGTTTTACACGATTCACAACAATGGCGTGATGAAATTCCCGGAATTCCGTGGAACCGCAGAAAATTCTCATCCCTGAACCATGGCATCACACATGAATATATGAAACGCCCGGTTAAAATTTTTATAATCACTTGTATGCAAAATGATCTGCTACAGAGACATAACCTTGATCATTGATACAAGCGGAAGTGTATAAGGATATGTCACTGGTCCTTCCTGTATCTAACTGGTCTCTTCAATTGATCTTATGGTTATAATGCTGTCTCATAAAGTCGAGGAAGTATACTGGTTAAAGACGTTACCTGTCACCCCAAAAGTTTAATTCCCCCTCAGGTACAATGTGTAAAGCCAATTTCTGCTGTTCCCTCAGCTGTGACATTGCTAAACACGGCATAAATCTATACTCACTCACTTAACATTGGAGCTTCAAACTGATCATTTCAATAAACGATGGTCTGTGGATTAGCACATCAATTAGTTGTTGAGGTCACACACCGCATGCAGATTGAACACACATTTCTGCCATTGTGTTTTGTTTGTAGTGTTTTAACCCTCAGCAACATCTATGCTGTATGAGAGGCATCTGTAAATATTGAGTCTCCACCAGACAACCCAGTGATAACACTATTACTGGTTACAGGAATCAGCACCTCAGAATCGAGGTATTGCTGCCACAGTGTGTGTAGTGTTTTAACCCTCAGCAACATCTATGCTGTATGAGAGGCATCTGTAAATACTGAGTCTCCACCAGACAACCCAGTGATAACACTATTACTGGTTACAGGAATCAGCACCTCAGAATCGAGGTATTGCTGCCATTGGGTATAGTCCAATTGTTCCGATTCCTATATATAATATAGATTCAATGACAACACTACATCTGCCATTATGTCCTACTAGAAGCATAAACAGCACAAACAGACAATGCCTCCTAACAGATGTATACATTACCACGGTAACACAATAAGTAATACAAGAAATAGATCTATCCTTATTCAAAGCTTTTTTACATCACTGCCTGGACGCAAATAACATGATGATGAACAGAGAAAATCCAATTATTTCTGTACATATCGCATCAGTTACCATGGTAACCAGAAAATCAGGACAGAAATGATGATGCCCACCTTAGTATAAAAATGGCCATGATACAAAAAGCATGATTTTAATAGCCAGACATGATACGAAAACGTTATTTAGCAAGTTAATTGACTTGATTAAATAATAAGTTAGGTATTGGTTTCGTATTGGTTTCGTAAGACAAAAGCTTATTGATTACATTGACATGCTGTACACTGAGAATAATGGTCACAATCATATATTGAAAATACGACAGGAAACAGAGAAAACACTCAAGACAAAAAACTCTAATCATCCAGCAAGCAAACCGGTAGTTACTGAACCTTGTGCTCTAGACGTATTAGAGCTCATACAGGCAAGAGAGGTTATAAGTTATCACCTATAAGCTAACTGAAACCCTGTGGGAACTTAACACTTATAAACATAAGCAGTAAAATTATGAAGAGGCTAAAGTCTGACCCTTGTGGCAGGGTACACGTACACACAATGCACGTTACTGAACTTGATCTTTAGAAGCGTTATGACAAGCTGATGCTGCAAGCTGCATCAAGAGTTGGAATTGGTCTTAAACCATGTTAATCATAAGAGGCAACTAACAGGATCAGGGTCCCATCTCACAAAGCTATCGTAGCAGTACAACTGTCGTACCTATTATAACATTGACTTACGACAGTCGTAGGGCTACAATAGCTTTGTGAAACGGGGCCAAGATGGCCAAACTTGGTTGATGCTGGTCATTGCAACCAAACTGCGTAGATGGATGCTCATGATGTTGATCACTGGATTGTTTGGTCCAGAATCAATTATTTAGCGACCGCCGTCTTATTGGTTGAACATTGTGTTAAACCGTTATGGTTGCCGTTAAACAACAAACAATACTCTTACCATCACACATCTTGTTAAGTCCTTGAGGACTAAGCCACCAGATATTCTCTGAAAGGGGTCCTTGGAATTTGTTTGAAGACATTTTTGTCAAAAGAAAACCTCTTTTTTTCAGAACAGAAGAGGCAAACAATGAAGTTGTTTTTTCCAACATGATTGTTTCAGGATATGCACTTGTGTATAGTGTTCCCTCAACTTCCACACAAACTGTTTAGCGATCAGTTACAGTTGCATGTTTACAGCCGCCATGTCACCAGGTATAGCAGCTGTCATCACTAGGTAGTCACTGACTGTGTATACAGGCCACGCCAACTTGTCACATGAATAAATTACCTCTACATTCATGGTGTCACTCAGCAAACTCAAGCAGTAAAACTAATGACTATCACACTGGACCAATATTTTGTCTAGCGTCATGGAACAGCCATGAGTAACATGAGTAAATGAGCAAGTGAGTGAGTGAGTGAGTGAGTGAGTGAGTGAGTGAGTGAGTGAGTGAGTGAGTGAGTGAGTGAGTGAGTGAGTGAGTGAGTGAGTGAGTGAGTGAGTGAGTGAGTGAGTGAGTCACATGAGTAAGTAAGTGAGTGAGTGAGCTTGAACAAATGATTCAAGTGTTAGTGTTTACAAGCTCATGTACTGTGCTAACAGTCATCCGTATTAAGGGTTCAGTTTGGGATTCGACCCCCCAGTTTGGAACGTCATGCAGCGCTGTACATAATTGGACGCCCATGCTATTCAAAGACAGACACTAAACTCATCATGCAGCCTATATTTGATACCATGATTCCCTCCTCAGCAAGCTCTTATTATGTTGAATAATCAACAGTTGACATATCAAGTACTTTTAAACACACGGCATATAGACTCACTGATTCAAATGATGAAAGCTTAATGTAGCTGTGTGCGGTTGACAGTTAATGCATTCAATCACCTATTGGAAACCAGGGTGAAATAAGGTCACATCTTCATAATCAAGGTGTCCACTTATGTAGGAGGAAAATCCAAAGGAGTGACTGTGGTAAACATTCATAATATTTGTAAAACTATCTAGTGTAATGCTGACAGACCAAGAATATTGATGTGGGAGAATTTGGGATCCTGGCACATCAAAGGGACAAAACTCCAGCACATGTCGCAAACTGACCACAACAAAAAGCACAAAGGAGTGACAGGTGAAAACATTCATAATATTTGTAAAACCAAACAGTGTAGTGCTGAGAGACCAAGAATCATAATATGGGAGAATCTGGTATCCTGGTACGGTAAAGGGATATAACTCCAAATGGAACAAATTGACCAAATGAATAAAGTGATCCCTTCCAACTATATTCTTCCAGGTCTGGAATTTCAGCTTATTATGGAATTCTACCGGCACGCTACTAATTCGAATGTTTCTAAAAGAGCTGTTACTACATTAATTTCTTTCAAGAAATCCTGCAAGCATTTTAACTCACAAACATGATGGTTTCTAACATAACTCTGTTCTATTTTAGGTTAAAAATGATCTATTTCCAGATGATAAATAAAATCGTAAGCAGATTATTGTGATCAAAAGCACTTTTGTAGAAGTGAATTCCCCTAAACATTTAATTTCCTTTGGAAAATCTATTTCACTCTCAGTTTTCAGTTCTAAGCGCATTGACAATAATTCAAACATTTCCAGTGTCAGTTCTCAAAGGTTCTAAAGACGAAAAACCTGCCTCAAAGGATCATTCAGTCTCATTATCATCTAATTTGTGTTCGGTTTATCACTTCAAAGTGTAAACACTACAATCAATACCTGCCCAGTCCTGGCCGAGGGAAGCTTGAACAGTGAGCCTCTAACCATACAATCAATCAAAACAGGTCGTGCTGTACACGAGCTGCTGACAAATAATCCTAAGACAGCGGATTATCAACATCAGCATGTGATCCTTTCAATCAAATAATCATTGATGACTGACATTGTGATTTGTGTATGTGATTACATAACATACACAGAGGTGTGTTGGGTCTGGTAATGAGATATTACATGTTGGCCTTACAACCGGCAAGATGTAAACACAGCAAGAC